GACCGAAGTCTTTGAGCTTTCGATTGCATGAATTAATAACCCTTGAATGGTGGTAGGTAGATAGATAGTTTTCCTTGTTATGCAAGTTGTATTTTCAAAGGGTTATTTCTCTTCGTTGTGACATACAATACAATTTTGAGGATATCCAATGGCCAACAAAAGTGAATATATGCACTAGACCCCTAAAAACAAACATTTCCCGCAAAATATCGACCGCTTATTTGTTTCGTCGTTCCACCTAGTCATTGAAATATCCCAGAGATGCAGTTTAACACTTAATTCGAATTGTGACGTCACTCAAATATTAAGACAAATATGGTCATAGAAAGGAATAGAGGTGTTAGTTGATTCGTTAGTCAGATAATGAACGGGTTTTGTGGAGATTTATACCAATGAGTCCCAAACTTGGACGAAACAGTTGCCCAGTGCTCTCTGGTTTTCAAAAATCCCCTAACTGATGTTGGTACATGATGAAATCATAGAAACACCCAGAAAGGTAGAAGAAAGAAATGAAAAATACAAAAATTGCGACTGTACAGCAATAATGGGGAATTAATCAGACGAAAAGATGTCTGCAGGTCTCCTTGTTTGTTCTCTAGTGAAACTACAATAAATGAAAATATACAGAAAGAAGAGTTTTCAAAGGAAGAATTTGATAGATCTAGAAAATGGCGAAGGGTAACAACATACCTACTCTCAGCCCTGACACCAATACTCTCCAACCATTAATTCTTAGTATCCCTACGACTTCAGACAAGGCTGTCTACACCTCCTCCTACGTGGCCAAAACCAATATTCAGAGACTTTATAGATTGGTGACAAATTACGATTTGACCACCCTTAGTTCTATTCCAATCCAGTCCTATGTCAGTTAACACTGCTCGTTGAGGCGGGAGATGGCTTGGCATATGTGACACATATCTTAGCCATTTCTATCGATGTAACTTCACAACCTCACCGATTCGGATTCCCTACTGACCGAACACTCTACGCCTAATGCCAATATTACTCAACCATGTCATTACCAGTTAACATGGGTAAACGGTAGAAGACGAAAGACTTGGTAAAGGAATATGGTACAGATATGTAGATGACACATTTATCATCATAAAGAAAGCTGAAAAAGAAAACTTTCTAATAGAAATTAACTTAATCTCAGAATACATAGAGTTTACTGATGAAGTAGAATCGGCGGAGGGAACTCTAAACTTTCTTGATTGTCTTGTAAAAAGACAAACTGACGACAAACTAAAGTTTACCATATACAGAAAGCCGACACATTCCAACAAGTATTTGAATTTCCAATCAGATCATCCAATAGGAATGGAACTTTCAGTAGCTTTAAATCTCGTTAACAGAGCTAGAAACATTATAACAGATGATGACGATATGGAGAATAAGATATCCAATATAAAACAGGTTTTAATTGGAAATGGTTATCCGGAAAAGCTACTAGATAATATTATCAATAAAAAGGAGCATAAGGGTAAACAAAAAAATTGAAAAATCTTGGCTATCGACAAAACAATTCCAACAGTCGTGTGAACACGGGCAGTAATTTTGCTCGAAATATTACCAGTAACAAAACTTATCACTCTATGTAAACTATAGAAATATAATTATACTTTATTTGATCCAATCCACAATGCTCAAACTTTTTACTGATATTAATATGATGACTGCTTACATATTTCTATTGGTACAAATGTCCTTCAAATAAACTGACTTCAATTTATGTAAAAACTTTTGACTATATATTTTGATGATTAATAAAAATCCGAATAAATCTGCTGAAGAAGCTGTGGCTTACGCAGCGAAACGTTCAGAAAAACGTTGTTTTGATTTTCTTAACACGCTGGGATTAATTTAAATAATTCATAACTCTAACTGATATGATGTCAGCTCATGAAGAAATCCTCCATGTAATTTATAATGAATTGGTAAAGGAATGTTTATTTGGAAATTGGTATCTCAACATAAAACAATTAGTTCCCTTTATGAATTTAGATAAAGCAATAAGAAGACGTAATTTGTCTGAATCGTGTAATGTATTTGCGCAACACATTTCCAACAATCTGATCACACACGGACTTGTCATAGGAATGTGATATATGAAATTAATAAAGAGGTAAGAGGTGAGAAAATAGACTTAGGTCAAGTTAAAAGGACATATTTAAGGTCAAAATAACAATGAAGATCACTAAACCAAATAGCAGAGGTAATAGTACATCTGCTATGGTATCAAAACAAAATTTACTAAGGAAGGTTTAGTGTGATGACGAATTGTTTTTGAACGCATAAAGGTGGCTTAAACTTTCTAATTGCTAGGGCTTCCACAAACTTTAGGATACGCCCCAAACACGTTTTATAGATAGGTTTAAAAGATGTGTTAACGTCAATTTTATGTCCTGTCTCTATAATATGTTTCACAATAGAGGAGCTAGGTCTCCTGTTCTCACCATTAATGGGTTCTGAAGATTCTATTTGTTTCTGGAGCCATTTAGGAATATGCTCTGAAGCCAGCCCTTACTTGCAGAGATCGATGAGTCCTCCCTATGTATGTGTGTCCACACGTACATTCAAATTGGTAAATACAGTGGGATGTGACATCATTTTTCACATGTTCTAATGGCTTAGATAGATATATTGGCTTCACATTCTCTATTATTATGATATTAGATGCAAAGAAAGTCGCTTTGACAGCAGCTCTCTATATAGCCAAATTATGTACACCTTATCTTCAACGCACCATTTGCATAGCTGTTCGTGTTGAGATACTTCTTGACTTCATATTGTGTTTCTTTCACGTCTCCTATATATCTCCACAACGCTGTATCATTTGCCTTCTCTGAAATCAAATGTATCTCCCTGCTTGCTGTTTTTATGATGAACATCCCTTTAATATACTACTGATAAATCTTATCAGTAGCACTCGTCACAATGCTACAGAAAACAAAAGCACCTATAGTTAAAGACAGCTAGCCTCTTCATACCTCTCTCACTTTCAGTGACCTCATCTCACAGCCATAACGAAGGACAGATCAAAATGCTGTGCAGTATACAAACGTCTTTTGATTGACAACTAGATATCACGTCTACATCAAAGATGTCACAAGTTAGCAAATATCAAACGACATTTTGTATTAGTGATGAGATTTTGTTAGCAATCAGTTCGTTGGGCCTGATACAACTCTCCAAATAAGTGAAATGGTCAACACATTCAACTATTTCAATCTTCATCCTTAAACTAGGAGTCTTGCGCCAACCAGTCCTAGGGCATTATCTCACATTTGACAGAGGCGAATAGCATGCCAAGATTTCTGCTCAAGGTGTGTTCAGAAGACTGCATTTCACCAACAACTTCACCTTGAAGGACTGTATTATCTGACTATAATCAACGTGACTGTCCCTTGGTAGCAAGTCAGTGTCCGGTAGTCAATCCTAGTCACATCTTTGAAAAAAACAGATATACTGGGCATCCGCGACATACATCATAGGTGACCCTCATCTTAGATGACAGCTCTCTATAATCTATTTCACGGCGTCATGAGACTACAACTGGAGCAGAAGTGATAGGGAAATAGGTGATATCTTTGATTCGACAGAAGAAGAGATGAGAAACGCAGAATATTATCAGTTTGAATCCTACTGAATCCAAGCTACACAATAAGTCAATAGGACTGCAGATTGGTCTATTTCTTTCATTCCCTGCGTTCCAAACTTTGAAGTTTCAGTAGCCGTATATTGTTGCTTAGCAGGGTGGGATTGCTACTAGCCTTCTGTCTTTTTCAGGCCCACTACCGACTAGGAGTGCATCGGCTGGGAATCGAACCCGGACCAACCTCGTAGCTGGTTACTGAACCAGTGACGCGTTGTTGATTGGTCTGTGTAGTATATTTGAGTTGATGATATAAGCAACAAGGATCCCATAAGTAACACGATGGATGAATACCTTTATGAATTAAGTAAAATTACTAATCCACTACAACTGTTTTTTTACACTAAACATTGTGACACTGAAATCTTTGAACATGCAATTTTAATCTCCCGTCTCACAGTTGTATCAAATAACATGCTGTCTCATTCTGCATCAGATTTACTCTTGATTTTTCCTTTTCACTGCATTTCTTATTCCACGATATGCACAAGTAACGCAACTCAAGCAAACGTCAATATACCACCAGCATTACCACCTGTTTTTAATTGTGAATGCATGTTACGCAACTCTGGCGACGAACCTACACCAACAACCTATGACTCAAAAAATATGTAGAAGGAAATGGACTAGACATACGCTAAGGAGTTACATCACATGCCAGGCCCCCGAGTGGGATCGAAATAATGGAAAACCACGAAGGAGATCATCTAAGGAGATGTAAGCTTATGAGGAATCATAGAGGCAGCTTAAAAGGTCTGTAGTGAACAGGGAGAAATGGAGATGTATTAGATGGTTGGAGGAAATCGGCAGGAAGCCCAGCCTTCAACCTAGGTTTCGTGGTAGTTGGCACTCACCAGTCAGCAAGGTGTACCTGCAACCTCGAAGGAACTCATATCCCTTCTGAGGTTCGAACTCGCGTCACTCAGTGCTACCTGCAGTCAGAGACGTTACCACTGAGCTATTCAGGCTCGCGATTGACCTCCTGTAGGACTGTAGTGGGTATTTTGATTGGACACTAGTAACTAGTGTGACGTGTCTAGTCCTTTCTTTGGTGCAGACTGAATTCTATCAGTCAGGTTTGCAATGTGGCCACCATTCTAGATAGCTTTGTAAGGATTACATGTGTTTTTACGAGTTTGATCGCTGATTGATGTCATTTAGAGAACAACTGGAAACCAGGGAGTTCTGGACAGCTCACCATCACACGGTGCACTTTGAATTGTTGGTATTAGATGGTGTTACTAATAGTCCTCTCTGTTCCACTCGGAACCCAAGGGAATAATAATAATAACAACACAATGTTACTGATAAAAAAGAAGGCTGAATTTAAACATTGTATCGCCTGAGCTACATAATTTTTCTCCTTGTATTATTGCACAAAACACAAATCGAAATGAAAGTGCCATCATCTACTTTTATTGTAATTATGTTTTTTTCTTCAAAGTAAGATAAAAGCAGAAATGCATGATAAAAACATAAACAACATTGTTAACATTTTTGCTCAAATCATTGATTCCATTTAAATGATTATTCATACATTTTTTGTTAGGTTTTATGCAGCTTTTACAACAGTAGTCACTAGAGGCTTATTTACTTTATCCGGTGAGTTTTCAACAGCAGAAACAGTATTGGATGTTTGTTGCTGTTGCTTCTTAGACGGTGCAATCCATTTGAGTTGATCAACTGAAGGTAGATCTGAGTGAAGAAATGGACATTTAGCACGATTAGTACAAGCAGAACCAAATCGACAGGGGATAGGTCCAGCAAACATTGGAGCAACAGGTTGTCGAATAACCAGTGGAGAAGGTTGAACGACAACAGGTGGTGGATGATAAAACTGACACAATGGATTTGTACATCTACCTTGAAAACGACATACTATTTGAGCTGGATTAGCAGACACCACAGCTGAAACAAAAAACAAAACAAAAAAATATTAAAACGAGTAACTACAATGAACAGAAATAAACAACTTAAATGTATTCACATTTCTAAAAAAATAATATTTACTGACTGCTTTCAACTTTGTAGAACTTTGCACAGATGTGCAGAAGTTTGAGTCGACACACTTCATTTAGCACACAAAGCAAGGGAAGAGAGTGGAGAGAGATTCAAAAGAGAGATAATAAACAGAGATATGAGGCAAAAAGAATAGTAACATAGAAGAACAGCATAGTTTTATTGGATATTATAAGTTACAAGGAGTGGATGCATCTTCGCCATCATTGAGAACGATTTTGAGCCATATCACCAATTGTTTCCAGCCATTGGTGTTTACCGTCCCGAGGACCTGATCCATCCTACGTCAGCTAACATTGCCCGTCAGTCGAGGAAGGCGATGGCTAGGCATGAGTAGCACATGTCCTAACCATCTCAATCGATGTAGTTTCATAACCTCGTCTATTGCTTTCCCCTCCTTACCTAGCACTCAACGCCTTACCTCAATATTGCTCACCCTATTATACCATTTCACACGGGAGATAGAACGCAGACACCTATGATCAAAGACAGCTAGCCGGCCTTTTCATGTCCTCCACTCTCAATGGACTTGTCTAGAACACAGTCATAGAGGAGGACGGAGCGGACTACTGAGCAGTACACACGTCCTTTGGTCGATAGCAGACCGAATATCACATCTACGCCAGAGACGGCGTAAACTGGCATATGCCAAACTAGCCTTCTGTATCCGTGCTGAGATTTCGTCAGTGATCAAACCGTTGGGGCTGATGCAACTACCCAATGTAACACGCTCTACCACTTCACTCCCTATTTCTAAGTCAGGAGTCGATGTAGTCCAGCCGTAGCTCATCTTACATTTGGCGGGAGCGAATCGCATGCCAAAGGTGTTCAGAAGACTCTGCATTTTGTCAGCGTCTTCAATTAGAAGGAACTATATCATCTGCATATTCTAAGTCAACGAGACTATTATTCCTAGTAACAAGTCAATCCCTGAGTCTCTGAAGTCACTTAGGGTTAAGTCCATTAGTACATCTATGATGAAATTGAATAGAAATGGGGATAGTGGGCATCCCTGATGGACACCACTAGTTGTCACCACTTCAGATGACAACTCTCCGTAAGCTCTCACCTGGCTGAATCATGAGTTCGAGTAGAGTGCCTTGATCAGTGCGACGTATTTTCTCGGCATTCCTTTTACAATCAAACATCACCAGAGTACCTCTCGGTCGACAGAATCGAACGCAGCTTTCAGGTCAAGAAATATAACGATTGATGGACGCCGACGGTAAGTATGCCTATGTTCCAGAATCTGTCGAAGGGTGAAGACATGATCAATGCACCCTCTTCTTGGTCTAAAGCCTGCCTGGTTCTCTCGTGTTTGTGCCTCCCAAGAACCGCTTAGTCTACGCATTATTATTGAGCCTAGAACTTTAGATACCATATTAGTCAAGCTAATCCCCCTGTGATTATCACAGGAAGACTTGTCTCCCTTCTTGTATATCGGGATGATCAATGACTTACACCAACCCGATGGGACTTCCTCTGATTCCCAGACGCTGCCTAGTACCTCAATTAACGCAGACAGTAAACTGTCTCCACCGTACTTAAACACCTCTGGAGTCATTCCATCCCGTAGCTTTTGTAACCTCAGTTAGGGACGGAAGACCTGTGTCTATATCCCATTCAGGGAGGTGTTGAATGCTCTTTCTTTCCGCACAGAAGCGTAGCAGTTCAGGTTGCTATACCCCGTGTAGCATACAAAGGGAGAGGAAAAACTTCATAAGAACTATAATGAGCATAAGTGTACGGGAGAGAGAATAGTAACATGGAAAAAAAATGAGGACTTAATGGATCTGGGATATCACAGCTCCATAGATACTGTGTGATAGTGTTAAGTAAGTAGAATAAAAGTTCATTTAAAGTCCTGAAGACCTTTTGATTTAATGTAGTTGTCAGTAAATAACAAAATAGGGTTACAAATTAACCCAATAACGATCACGACAGGTGGTGAGTGGAAATTACAAAAGACTTAGAAAGGCGTCGAAGTGGGCAAAGACTGTACACCTGTACTAGGTTGAGTCAAATACATGGTTTAAAGCACTATATGTTAAAACCAGGAACAGTAATCTGAAATGATGTCAATATCCTAAAAAGCTGATATACTCTCCAAGACTGTAAGATACCCTTCTATACACAAAGAAAATGTCTTCAAATTTAGGGTTTTCTTGAGACTTGTTTGAAGCCCAGATAAAGCTTATATTCTTTCAGGCAACTTGAACCGATTTAATCATCAGTTTGAGACATTGATTGGACTAACTGACTAACGGAGTTTAAACAGCCTGATTGCATGGGATCTTAGTATCCCGTGAACCCCAGGCAGGTGATCTACATCATCCTATGTATTTCAAATCAACATTCAAAGACTTCATGCATTGATGTCAAATTTTGATTTAACCACCTTTAGTTCTATTCCAACCTAATCCTATTCAACTACATAGGTCAAACTAGTAGATCGGGTGGGGTAGTCAGATTGTCAGAACATAAGAATTTAGCTAAGGTTGGTTGGAATGATTGACCCAGCGAAGATAAGTAATTTAGAAGCTCAGCAATAGCACTACATGCATTAACACACAACCACACAATAGGGTGTTTGGGAGAGGGTTAAAATTCTAAGAAGTAATATAGGTAGGTGGAGAGAGAGAGACGTTGATTACTGAATCCTTGTTTATCGAATCTACACCCAGTACCGGAAATAAGGAAAATACTACTACCAATCAAGTCAAGCGATGAAAAATAATGGAATTATATAAACGAAGTTAGAAAGTTGTGTGAGTAGTGTCTTGATATGATTATATGAGCAGTGATAAATTGTGCTCGAAACTTGGTCATCAGTAAATATTACTGTATAACACTGTGAGACTTTATCAAAATCAATTTTACCCACAAAGGAAAATAATTTCCACTAACAATTGCAAATTCATAAACTCGTTAAATATCAACCCCTTGTTGAAGAGAGACGATTCGTAACACCAATTAAAACACATATAACTCTGTTAAAATGTGAAGGTGCAAATTTAAACAGTACTCTAAGTAAAACAAAGCCGTAAATTCAAAGGAGTACTCTATATAGTGAGTTGTATGCTTAAGAGGCTGTGTGATACGCTAGACTATAAAGATTAGTTTCTGAGATAATGTTTTTCATAAAAAGTGTGACAGCTGAAACTTCCACGCTAACACGCACAGCTAAGGGTTCCGTCAAAAGTCAAATAAACCAATCGAATCTCTGCAAAACAACACTTGAATACCAATCGGATGCTCACTAGTGACTGACCCTATTCAGGTAGATAGAGTCACCTAGGTTCTAGTGGGAAGTCGTGACCAGTGGGGTACAGAAGGTCGGGTGTGAGAACAAATACTCCCCCCACCGATGACATTCACTAGTGATCGCTCCATATCATGAATTGGCAGAAGTTGGAATTCACGAGCTATTGGATCGGGTCCCAGTGGCCTAATGGTCTAGTAGCTCGCCTTATAACCAGATAGTCATGGGTTCGAGCCCTGGCGGTGGGTTCGTACTGCAAAGAATCCCAAACGAGAACGAAATAGCTGGTTCTCTAATCGATGTCAGTTCATGATGAAATCCTGAAACCAATCAAATCCCTCTGCAAACCAGCACTTGAAAATAAATAATAGCCAAAATGACGCAACCATTTTTTTACTACTAGTGTTTGACAAGTGGTCTTATGGAAAAAAATCCAGCTATCGTTTATTAGAAAGAAAGATTCTCTCCCTAAAACATAAAAACTAGACTAAAATAATGATACATTTACGATGACAGGATCAGTGACTATAAAAATACCATATAGGCCGAAAAATGAGCACAGAACATATAATTTTTAGAGTTCGTAGGGTCTATGCAACGTAAACACACCTAGAAAATGCTAGGCCCACACTAATCTTTTAGACAATTCGACCTAATTTGTTTATAATGTGGCTGTGTGTTCTCCGAGCCAGGTAAAACAAGAACACATCACAAGATAATTAAAAAAAACACAACTAAATTCCAGGTTAAAGAAACGATCGATACTAATACAAATTAACAACCAATCAGAACAGAGGTCATCAGAAGAGAGACAGTTAGTCATATCATCAACGCAGAAATCAAAGGAATTCACTTCACACTGAAGTAAGAGCCTAATATGTTGTCTAGAAGGACACTGAAAAATGCGTGATTAAATCGACCGGCTCAGAAAATATCAAAAAAACATCCACCTGAGACACAAATCTTCCTGAGCATTTCCAAATTTGACTGTACAACAAGCATAAAGTTGACTACTTGGGGTTTATGGATGTGCTTTGAAATACTGGAAGTATCACACTACAGCAATGACTTTTTAGGACAGTTCCAATGAAAAAAAAATAGTTAAGTGCAGGAAGATATTGATCATCGGAATCTTTATTCATAGAATCTACACCTAACACATGCAATAGGAATGACGCAACACCAATACTGGAGATATGGAAAATATGACTACTAGTAAAATCAAAGGATACGGAGTAAGGGAATCATAAAAAGAGTTTGGAAGTCACGTGAGCACCTAGATATGATGATTATGAGCAGTAATCCTATGCTCGAAACGTCATCAGTATATAAGAAATACTTAGTTGGTGGATGGTGACTAGCAGTGGAATCCAGAATGCGCATTTCGTCCTATTTGGGACTCGTCAACTGGATGTACCTGCATTCCCCAGTGAGTGATGATGTTCCCACTGAGGCTCGAACCCAGTGCCCATAGCTTCAAACGCCAAAGCGTTATCCACTAAACCACTTGGGCCACGAGAGTCACCTCTTGTGCAACGGGCCATATTAATTTAATTGAATTTTAGATTTTCCCGTCGATTGATTGGACCGAAGTGCTCGGTCTCAGGTTGACATGTCGGCTTCTTGTGCAGATGCTTCGACGATTTCTGGGCATTTAATTAGAATTTAATTTGTGGATGGTGACTAGCAGTGGAATCCAGGATGCGCATTTCGTCCTATTTGGGACTTGTCACCATCCACAAATTAAATGCCCAGAAATCGTCGAAGCATCTGCACAAGAAGCCGACATGTCAACCTGAGACCGAGCACTTCGGTCCAATCAATCGACGGGAAAATCTGAAATTCAATTAAAATAAGAAAAACTGTTTCACAATGTGTCTTTTTATCTAATAAAATTACTCTATGATGGGATAAATTCCACCAGCATTTTGGTATTTATTGTCGACTGGGTGCTGTTATACTGACTGATAAACATGAGTACTGTGGAATAGTGATATAAAGCGGTCAATATGTCGCTAAACAAATATATTTCGGAGTGGATGAATGGCTGTTAAGATATAAAATAGAATATTTGATAATAATTTGTGATACACTTACGCAGAACTCGTTTCGCTGAATGCGTGAACGGACAGTCAGGACGTGCACATGCTGCACCATAACGACATGGTGGATGAATAAAGGTACATGTTGCTCCAAATTTACACCGTGGGAATAATTGACATGGTTCTGAAGGATGAATATACTGACAAGAAGTTCCATTTCGACAATTAGGCCAAAATTTACAACGTTCTAAAGAGCTGAAATAAACGTTAAGAAAGGTATACATATATAATATATACAGTTAAAACTAGAAGAGATTTACATAGAAATAGTGAATACTTAAGACAACAATTCATTTGATGATCGTGTCGTGATAAAGCGGAAATTTTGATTGAAATAGTTGAGCAGTGATGAAATATAGTAAATTTTAAGTTTTCAAAGAACATCATCTCTCGTTTGGCTAATGAAAGGTAAATAGGGGATCGATAAGAAGTGCCATAGTTGAACATATAATCAACACTGGTCACTGGTGATATGGCTCAAAATCATTCTCAATGGCGCCTTTTGTGATTTCTATTGCTCTTCCATATTACCATTCTTTTTACCTCATATATTTCTGTTTATTATCTCTCTTTACTCTCGTCTCTTGCTTTGTGTGCTACATGGAGTGTGGTATATCGAACTGCTGCACACCTGTACAAAGTTCTAAGTTGAAGCCAGTCCAGTTCAGTCTACTGGTCACTCAATATGTAGGGAGAATTCATCCAAAGTCATTTACAAAGTCAAAAGAAGCTTCCCGAAAAATGTAAGCCTTCGTATACTTTGCATTGCCGAGGCCTTAGAGATTCGGATGGAAAATTCTGATTTATCTACACACAAAAGAAACTTCTCCATTCCCCTCCTTTCACCTTGGGTATAATTCCAAGTTCGCCTATTTTGTTATTAATACTCTTTTGTGAAATTTTTTGTAAGACAGTTTAGTAACATCTTTTTCTTAAATAACCCTCTATTTACTCTTTCTACCTACTACATAGTTTATTTTGGACACTTGTCTCCATGCTCTTTCATTAACACCTTATTTTTCTGGACGTCTTTCATATTACGTAATCCTAGTGAAGATTTACTAATCCTCATCCCCCCATCTAGTTAAAATTTGATTATTCATCACATATTTTGAAACATTTTGATGATGTAGACAATAACCCTAACTAATTTTTATTCTTGTTTGTTGAACCTAATGTACACATATAAATACAAAAAAGAATTATATATAATTGCAGCTGTACAGTTAAGTGACCCTTTGCTGACCTGATGCGCCAAATGATGTGTGCATGAGGGTAACTCCAATTTATAAAACTGTGAATAACCTTAGAAAAATGGCTGAGTAGTGTCAAGTGTTTGAATTCTACGCATAGCCTAACTCTCATACAGTAGGCATCCTATAAAGTTTAGTACACGAATTTGTAAATAGTAAGTGGGAGACGTCAACTAAGAATCATAGAGTGAGAAGTTGTGATTCCTACGTTTAAGTAATCAACTTTATAGCTAAAAGTTTCAAGTACAAATCTAATTCAAGTGTTGGTTTGTAGGGATTTGGTTGATTGGTTGCAGGATTTTCATCATGAGCTGACAATAGTTAGAGAACCATTGGAAAACCTGGGAGTACTGGACAGCTGTTCCGTCCTAGTTTGGGACTCTTCAACAGTACACACCCACAGGGATTAGAACCTAGGACCTTCTGGTTACAAGGCGAGCTCATATACCATTAAGCCACTGGAACCCGATCCAATGGCCCATGAATTCTAACTTCTGCCAATTCACGACATAGCGCGACCCCAGGTTTTCCAATGATTCTCTAACTAATGTCAGCTCATGATGAAAATCCTGTAACAAATCGAATTCTTCGCAAACTCAGTATGATTAGCTTTCATAAATTAAGTGTTACTTCCAACGTAGTAGAGAAACTTGTAGTATTCTTACTTTTTTTAAAGATAAAAGGTGGATGATAGATAGCAGTAAAGTAGTTTTTGGACACTAATTTTTTGATCGATCTCATGAGTTACTTCCTTGCATAATATTTTGTCCAGAGAGAACAACTCTAACCAAGGAACCCCCACAACTACCAAAATCTTTCACAGCAGTACAAAACTTTAATAATAATAATTTGCTTTATTCCAAAACAGTATTTATGATACTGTGTGAAATTCTCAGCATTATGAATTGAAGACTGAATACCCTGTCTAACCCCCACCTAAAAAAACTGCACGTGATTTCAAGATTAATTACTCCATAGTTTCATATCATACCAGCAGTGGAAAGAGTTGTTAAAGATTAATTATCCGAAACAGATTTATCATTTAAGAGATTAAGGAGCCGTAGTTATCATATAAGGGCTGGTGATTACTACCCAGTTAGTTACCCAGGCTGAAGTAGTTGGAGCGATACTCGAACCGGTGCTTAAACACACCACTGAGCCATACCAAAGTGAGAAGATAATAATGGTCAAACGCCTGTGATATTTCACAGGCGTTAAGTATGAAAAGGCCAGATTGATGCACACTATATTCGCTCTGTGTGACAGGTAACGCCATATATCACAATGAAGCCGAAGATGATACAAGTTGGGAATCTCAGAAACTATCTATATCTCTGCTAAAATTTCCTCTGCAGTCAGTCCGTTTGAGCTGATGTGACTTCTGAAAAAGTGATGTCATCAGCACATTTAACCAACTTACTCTCTGTACATAAACAAGATATTGCTGTAAATCAGTCCTGTAGCGTTATCTTAACATTTAACAGAGGTGGGACGCGCGAATGTTTAGAAGTTTTTGCAATTTTAATTGCAAGTTTACCCAATAGGATTACGTCGTACAATTATGCAAGTCAACCAATCACTTTTCTCCCTGAAAATAAGCCAATTACTAAGAGAGTAAAGACTAAACAAATACGCCCCCACCAGAATGTACATCATAGAAATGAAGACGATAGTAAATAACTGTAGTGGACACACTTGAAAGTTAAACTGAGTCAGGTAGGGAGATGCAGACTTCCGGGTTGGGGCCCGCCCTCGGGACTCTAAGAATCAATGGCTGGAGACAGTAGGTGATATTCTTTCATATTCCTTTCTACCATTACTCATTCTGTTTCACTCTTATACTTGTCAAAACTCTATTGATTCTCTTCACTCATCTTCTTGTCTACCTTTGTGTGCTATTTGGAACGTGGCAACTGGAACTGCTGCACTTCGGTGCCAAGTTCTATGTTGAATCCAGACAGAGACAGACAGTGGACACTTCTGCTTTTTATCAGTTCAGACCTCAAACCATAGTAAGGTTGTATGAATTTGATCGAACTGTCTTGACTAGCATAACACACTTTTCTAGAGTTTTGTTCAAAGTCTACTTGCTCTCTATGTGATTATAAACTCTAGTATCTTAAACATAATATTACTCTAGTTGAATCACGTAGTTATTACGGTAAGGTCAACCATTCATCCTAAACACAGGGATGACTAACCATCTTCCTCGACCAGATGGAACTCTGATTGGTTTTTTTTTCTCCATATTTTTAGTATACCATTCTATTTTTCGGCTACCCCAGGATCATCTGAAATGTACATAAACAACTATAATTTGGTTTCGTTCTTATTAAGTTGTAGCAACCATTTTCGATCAAACTGATGTCATTTTTGAGGTTAGTTGAATGGAGTGTGTTTACAGAGTGTTATTGTTAGTCACTAATCTTGCACCACGTTTAATTATTATTATTATTGTATCCTTTAATTCCTAGAGGAACATACGGTTTCAGCCGTGTGTCTCCATTGCGTTCAGTTCTCTGCTAGAGTCTTCACCTGGGTCCATGTCTGTCCACACGTTTTCATCTCCTCTTCACATGACCTCCTCCAAGTCACCCTTGCACTGACGACCAACTCGCCGCTTCTCTTTCGGGTTCCACTCGAGCAATGGCTTGTCTAGTGATGTCACTTGATGGTTTCCTCAGAGTATAGCCAATCCATCTCCATTTCTTCCTGCCTATTCGTTTCACAATCGGTTCCAGAGATCTCTATTGCTGATCTTTTCTGACCATCTTATCTTGAGTATTGAGCGAAGACAACTGTTAATGAAGGTCTGTAGTTTGTTTGAGATGCTCTTTATAACACCACGTTTAACAATATCGTATTTTTTATTATTCCTTTACGTTCCCAGTGGAACATAGGGCTTCAAGCTAGAGGATTGAAGTTTCTGTAGCAGTGGTGATTATTTTTACAGGATGGGGTTGCAAGCCTCATGCTCAACCTCCCCTCTTTACCAGTCTTACCACTGTCTTAGCGAGGTAAAGGAGTGCGTCGGCCAGGAGTCAAACCCCAGACCACATGAAGCGTGGTCGGTGAGCACTCTGTCGCTGTGCCACCGATGCACACAGTGAGTAATAACCACTATTACCAGTAATACTCATTAGCAGTAGTTACAGAGTAAAAGTGAAAAGAATTAGCGAAAATCCATGAAAAAAATACAATGAAAAGGGTAGACGATGGGTAGACAGATTTAAGTATTTCTATTTTATTCCTTTGTGTTCCAAGTGGAGCATAGGACTTCAAGCTTGAGCTTTGAAGTCTCAACAGAAAAGGTATTCTCTACGGGGTGGGGTTGCTAGCCTCACATCCAAACTTCTCTCTTCACCAAGCTTATTACCAGCTAACGGAGGTTAAGGAGTGCATCGACCGGAAATCGAACCCGTGGTTAGACAGTATCTTACCGTCGAACCACCGATGCGATGAACTGATTTGATAAAATCGTTAGTAGTTCACACCATATTAATTGCTTTGTTGTTGGAGTAGTTGAAAGACGGAGCGAATTAGTTTTGTTTCAGTTTGGGGTCAGTAATTCACGATCTATTTAAAGGTATCAGGACTTTACCTGAAACTTACATGTTGCTTACTATTACGACAGTGATAATAGATTTGGCCTCCGAAATGACTGTCAGTATCAGACAATTTCAATTTTGATCGCGAATTGACTTCAGTTAGAGAACCACTGTAGACCAGGTAGTACTAGCCAGCTGTTTCGTCCTCGTTTGGGACTCTTCGGTGATATGTACCCATCATCACAATACCGGGGATCGTACCCAAAACCTTCGAGTCACAAGGCGAGCTGCTATACCACTCAGTCACTGAGACGGAACCCAATGGTGCATCAATTCAAACTTCTACCATTTCGCGATATAGTCCGACTATCTGCCAGTCTCATCGGTGAGTACC